TTTATTCACTGCTAAAACCAAACAAGTTCCGTTTTTATTTTGTCGTTTAACCATACAAAAGAAGTTATTGCCGCTGCATCGTTAGTTTGAATTTTGAAGGGATTATGAATTTAATTCCTTGCCGGGAAAGCTTATCTAGAACGAAAAGATTTGTCGATTTTTAAGACTTGACATAGCAAAGGGCTCAAGTTCAAGGTACTCAAGGGAAACATAATGTTGTTTTTTCAATAAGTCATTTGCCCATTCACTGAAAAATGCTTTCCTCGAAAGCCGTTACGACTTTCATGTTTGATATGCTGTTTTTTTCTTCGACCCCGACCTAGGTTTTAAAGAGCGTGAAGCGTAGTTTTGTAGCAAGTGTCCAGAAAGGTACAAAAATAAATTTCCTGTCCATAGAACATATGATCATCAAGTTCTCTCAAATTAATCAGAATCCCTGATAAGTGTTCATGTCACAACGATTTTATGCCTGCAATGTCTAGCACTAAAAAGGCGCGAAAATTGTAATCGACCTCCTTTTTGAGGAAGAAAAACCTTTAAGCTTATATAATAGTACGTACTTGTAATTTATGGAATGTGTTTTTCATTGTTGGATGAGAAACATTTTTCAAAATCAAGTCATGTGCTGAATAAGGTTATTGTTATTTAAGCTTTAAGCTACACTAGACTAGACTGTGTCGAGTATGGTAAAATTAACCGCCACATTAATATAAGGATACTTTTCATAGAAACCAAAAGAATGATACAAAATTTCGACTGGATATGAAGATATTATGCATTCAAACTTATTTATATCTACTCGGCTTAAGTCTGGGTAGCTACGACTTTTTCTAGTGGGGAATCTTGTCAAGCACAGTGCTACAAGACTTACCTAAAAATGCTTTCTTCACTGCCTCTCCAAACTTGATGCCTATTAGAGATATTAGGTCTTCGTCTTCGTTAATAGCGGTAGCTGGGACATCAGGATTCATATTACCACTGGATTCAGCCATGATTTAATTTTCTTCCCCACGACACAAACGTTTCCCACGAGAACAACGCAACAAGACAACGGCGGTCACAACGGCGAAGACGAGCGTCTCAGGCTGTGTCAGGGTATTTTATTCCAAATTCAGTCAAATGGCTTTCTCCTATTGGTGGACTTTCCCGCCTAAACTTTTACTGAGTTTTTATTGGTTGTTTTGATGCTAATGAAAATGGGATTCCTGTGTTGTTGTTAGTCAGCGGTAAAATTTTGGCGCGAAAATGAAAAAATGGCGGATGTTGTTCCGTGGTCAAGATGTGATGTGTCTGCTTGTAATTGCGCAGAAAAAAGCTACCGACATGTGCACTGCCGGTGTCAACGTTGCAATGGAAGAGCTACCACAAGGGGTACTGAGCTACGGCATTGGAGAGAGGCCTCTTTGTCTTTTATCAATGCAAACGAAGAGACGACTTCCTCTCAACGATTAGAGGAAGAAGGAGTATCTGTAGATTCTCAAGATCAGCAAAATATAGATGTGATCTACGATTTTAATGATGTGAATGATACTGAAATTATTTTTGAGGAAGTATCTCAGACTTCAAATGATGAGAACGTATGTATTGAAGTCGATAAAGATGACAACTATGATAGAATAAATCCTCTTAACAAGCTTGTACTCAAGGCTGTTTTGGATGCCCTTGGAATTATGGAGAACAGCGGATCTTCCATCAAAACATTTGAGGATATTTTAGACTATGGTAAAAATATGCTGTTTACATCTCTTGATGAAAATGTTGATGTCGGTGTCTTAAATTCTCTTTGGCCTAAAAACTGGTCTGAAGCCAAGGCACTTTTGAAGGCAGAAGGACTATCAGAACCTACACTGTACTACATATGTTATTGCAGGGAGGAGAAAGAGACAAAACGGAATGGAAAGATAACTAAAACATATCATTATACTAGAAAATGGAGCATCATGCAAAAGAAAGATGACGTCTGTCCTTACTGTGGAAAACATGGATATATCAAGTACATGTATCTGGGTTTGCACGATAAGTTAAAAAATTGGTTTCGAAATGAAACTACATGTAAAAAGATGCTGGCTCACTGGAACGAAAGAGAACATTGGCTCAATAAAGATTCACCTTGGCCTTTAAGAAAAGAAATTTGGGACGGTAAGAGGTGGGTCGACCTCGAGTGGTTCTGGAACCCAAATAAAACATGGGTATTGCCTACCAGATGTATTCACTGCAATGAAGTCATATCATCTGATGAAATTGTCAATTCTCCCAAAGATGCAGATGGTATACTGGAGGTGGTATGTCCAGAATGTTTAAACACTTTTAGCCATAAAGCTATTGAAGCAAAGGGATCACCTCTAAATATAGCTCTCATTGGACACTGGGATGCATGACAGCCATTTAAAACTAGTGGTCGAAGTTCAGGCTCATTTGAGGTGTCTGTTGCTAATATGTCAAAGAAAGATCGAGCACATGTCAGTGAAGTATATGTTGTAGGCTTTGTACCTTGTACAGCTATTCCAAATGATCTACCAGAAGTTTATGACCCATTCCTTCTGCCACTTATGAATGATCTCATTGATGGCTTCATTGATGGATTTGAAATTCCGTACCCTCTAGATATCAAAGTAGATGACTTCATGACTAATGCAAATGAAATTATTAGAGTATTATTATTATGCTGGTCTGGTGATCATCCTGGCCAGTGTGAAATTGGAAAATTCCTAAACCAAGGCAAATGCCCGTGCAGGAGATGCAAACTTGTAGGACAACAGGGTGAGGCATCATATCATTACTATTATGGAAACAATAGATACCACACTCGCTTTCCTTGTGAAGAGAGAGACATCAGCAATGAACAACAAGCTTTCTATGACCTTGATAATGAAACAAGAAAAAGTGTGAGGAAAAAGAATTCATCAGAAAAGGGATTTACAGGGACATCTATTCTTCACAAACACTTGTATAAGCTTTATGGTTTTGATATTTTGCATCATATGATTTATGATGTTTTTCACACAGTGCCACTAAACTTATGTAAAAACCAGATCCAAAGATTGATAAATTTAGAGCTGGTTGATATAACATACCTTGATGAGCAGTTACGTAATTTTCCTTGGACACCTGAGCTCAAAAATGGACGAATTCCTGTACCAATTGGTAAAGATGCAAAAGGTCTCCGATTTTGGAAAACTGAAGCCTTACAGAAATTTGCATACCCAGTTCTTGAAACCATTTTGGATGATCATGTGAATTCCACAGATCTTGAAATCCTAAGCTTAGTTTCCTATTTTACAGAGCTACATTTTCACAGTGGACGTGATGGGTGGACTGATGATATGATACATACACACAAAAAAATGGCTGAAAAATTAAATGTGAAGATTGAAGAAACACAAGGCTTAGAGATGTGTACCATATCAGTTCACAATATGAAGCATATCCATGAAGATATAATAAACTTTTCTTCTGCTGACAACTACTGGTGTGCTGTGTTTAAACGGTCCGTCAAAGATTATGTACAAAGGTCACATAATTGTAAAGGATTGGAAGTTACTTTTGCAAAGGCTGAAGCCAGAAGGGAATTTCTCAAAAGTCTGGATGTACAAAAAGATGCTCATTATCCAAATGCCAATCAGTTACACCAGGTATAATAATAATAATAATAATAATACTTTATTTCTT